TTCCCCAGCAGAGATGCCAGAGCTGTCACACCTCCTTTTTTACACACCCGAGGGTAGTACAAGGGAGTTTTTTTAATTTAAGTGACAATATTCGAAATGAGATTATTTATTCAATTTTATTCAGAGTCGCCACTTGGAATATTTTAATTGGTGTCCCAAGTCACCGGTTTATTTTAAATCCCAAATCGAGGAAGTTTTGACTTTCCTTTTGAAGTCTGCGAACCAGAAATTCTGAATAAGGAATTCTGTTAACCCGAGGGAAGGTGTTAGGCACCCTCGGATTCTGTGGTTCTAGCACGGTCGCTTAAACTATTATAATTGGCCTATTATCTGATTTTAATACATGTTTTAGCCTATGGTATTTTAACTTTAAAAACCGCTTTTATTTATTTTAAAGAAGATTTAACGTCGTTTAAAACATGTCTTTGGACCACGCCACATGAAATGCACCCGCAATCTGAAACACATTTTATTCAACGTTATTAAAATTTGGATTTGAGTCACATGAAATGTACACCCGAGTTTAGGAAGATAATGTTATTAAAATAACGCACCTAAAGCAACTACGCATTTTTAACTTTGTGAGGGCCATGAAAATTTGCTAGATGGCACGCCTCGAGTTCTAAGGATTTTAAAAGAAATAAGTAAGTGAGGGCCACGCATTTGGAATTTTATTTGGTGCGGCACGCCTCAAATCCATTTTTTTAAGGATATTCAAACTAAAATTCGGAGGGTCGTAACTATTTTGTATTGTCTAATACGGCCCACCTCTAATCTAATTAATGGGCTTAATTTGCTAAACACTAAATGCATTTAAAAGTTTCACCCAAACTACCTAGAAGCTCACATGAGGAAAAGCTAATTGTTTTAAACAAAGGGGTCCGACCCCAACACAAGCGAACCAGTGGCCCAACAAGAAGGAAGTGATCCGAGTCCCTTTAGAAAGAGACTGTCACGCTTGGGCCCAAGAGTGAGCCTAGACTCACAAACTTGCTGGTTCTAAGTGACAGACTCAATGACGAGTTTCCACGATGCACAAATGAGCGCCTGAAGTGACAAATATTTTGACGCGAATGCAGAAAGCCAAACATAGAGAACAATACATGTGCAAATGAACTTTGGAATCATTTTTTACTCCTTGATGGGCAATTATATGACATTTCAACAATGATTTGGTTTGCAATCGATTAACAGTCTAATTCATCAACTAACAGTATGCAAACTTATTTTTTGACCTTCAAACTCAAAACTATGCAAAATACGACCAATATGCTTCAAACTATGCAAACTACGAGGAAACAGAGTTGTTATTAGCCATGGCTAAAGTAAAGAAAAACTAACGAATATGCTTCATGCTGCTTTTAGCCCATCATTCTTTTTGACTACCACATTCCGTGAGAGAATTAACAAGCAGACAACAATACAACATTTATGAGAATCACTTTGACCCCTCAATACTCATAGATACAGAACACAAGATCTGATGTCCAAAAATATCCATACTAACATACTACTCAAAATCTTAAAAACATCATGAGGAATTAAACAACAAAAATGAAAACACATTATTTATACATATTGAAACCGAATCAAATACACAGATTAACTAGCTTGAAAGGTACAAATTCATCGTTTAAATCACTGTTCAACTACAAATCCCAACTTGAATAAGCCAACTTCAAGTTCACCTATTCTCATACATTAGGAGGTGAAGTGAATACCTGAAGATTGAAACAAGGAAAGAAAATGAGTACCAGTAGAGTAGAACATCAATCAACACCAGCCGCAACACAGCTCAACCAAATCGAATGCAGAAATAACAGAAGGCAGCCTCACCCGAGCAAATACCAGAACAGACTTCAAAACCAAACCTCCAAAAACCAATTTCAATCCATTTTTGAACTATATGAACCAGAAAATCTTTTCAAAGAATAAGAAATTAAGAAGTCACCAAAGAGTTTCAATGAAATAGTGATTTTTCTTCAATTCTTAGCCGTTTTCTTTTTCTGAGTTTCTTCACTTTTTTTCTTTCTTTTGAGCCTCAAGTAACAATGCCTTTATATGCAAGTTACTAGGGCAGCAAATATAAGCTAGGTATTGCCCTTTAGACCTTTCTTAATTTTCCTTTTTGCTATTTAGTCCTTTATTTTCTGACTTGCTAGCCAAGCTAGTCTGTTTGCAGCTCTTGAGAAACTTCTTAATCTGTTACCCAAAAGATTCCATAACTGAGTTACCCCAATTGCCCCTTCGCTTCCCTGTTTTTACCCCCAGAACCTTAGACAGATTATGAGTCTAGTTGACCCTGGGCTGACCCATTTAGAAGTCCTGCCCAAGCCTGAACTTCAGGGTATGAGACTCAAACCCAAACAACATCAAACTAAGTAAATGAAAACAAAATAAAGAGGCAGAGGCAATTCGACCAAATTTTGGAATTTCGACTAATGAGCAAACATTTAATGAAATTGAAACTAAACTAATAGTAGACTGTTTATACTAATTACAGAAAGAAAAACCTCTTAAAACTAGCATGCATGTAAAGAACAACTCTACAACTGGAATAACAAAAGAATCTAAAAGAAGAGGGAGAAGCAGATGACAATACAAGTTAAAAATGACAAGAAAAGTAAAGAAAATTAAACAGAAGAAAACTGAAAAAGAAATACCCGTGGGGCTCAGAATGGACTTGAATACACTTGAAGAAATCCTTCGATTTTTCGACCAGATTAGACCTTAATCTTGTGTTTTCGTGTGAAAACACACGACTAAGATTCAATATAGTCTAAAATCCTCACAGGCCCGTTGAATTTTGAATTTGGAATTAAGGCTGAGTTCTCTGATTTGATATTCGAGAAGTTTGAGGGGGATTCGAAGGAAAGTAATTGGATATTTGGAATAAGGGGAGGCAGGGGACTTCAGGATGTTAATTTGGTGGTGGTTGGTGGTGGCGCCGCCACCAGAGAATGTTAGGGCGGCGCTAGGGTTCTACGCTTTGATTTGAAATTCGAGGGGTTTCAAAGGGATTCGAGGGAAGGTGATCAGGGATTTGGAAAGAGGGAGTTGAGGAGATGATTTGGTGTTGGTTTGGGTTTGAACGGAGGTGGTACCGCCACCAAATATGGCGGAGGATTTGAGGCGGCTGGCTAGGGTTTTAGGGTCTCTGAGGGGTGTGAGAGAGATGAGAGATGGGGTGGGGGCGTTTGGACATATTTATATAAAGACCTCCCCACTTCTGAACCGTTAGATCAACAAACCTCGACGGTTGAGATCAAATGGGGAAAAACGGGGTCGTTTAGAGTCGATGGGGGAAACCGGACTAGGTCAGGGTGGTTTTGGGCATTTTGACCGGGTCTTTGGCGGGTTTGGATTGGGCTGACCCAAATTCAGATCTTTTATTAAGAACTTCAATTTCTTTTTATTTTCTTTTCTTTTTCTTCCCTTTTTCATTTCATTTTCACATTTTTGTTTTAAAAAAACAAAATTAAAAATAAAAACAAAATCTGATTTAAATCCAAAACTAAACTAATTATTTTTTCTCAAAAATTAATTAAGTCCTAATTCAAAAGAAAACTATGACGAATTCGAAAATTAAAAGTTAAAAAAAAATGTAAAATGAACTATTTTTGTGATTTTCTTTCATTTTTGTAATATTAAATAACTAATTATCCTAAAAATAGAAAGTTGGATCTTAAATGCAAATGCAATGTATTTTTGTATTTTTGATGAATTACCTAAATTAAATATGCACACAAAAATGCAAACAAACACAAAATCATGCAATTAATTCCTAAAAATCAAATAATTAATTAAAATAAAAATCCCAATTTTGGGAATTCTGTAGGAGCAAATCATGCGAGGCAAAAATCACGTGCTCACACTTGGCAATTTTTCAAACATTGTGGAAATGTTAAGTGCACTTTGAGTTGTCATTATCAGTATGTGGGTTCTTCGAGAGCTAAATATAATTTGTCATCGTTCACTTTAATTCAGGTTGATTTCCTAAGTTCAAGTATATGTGATGTAGCTTGAATGATTGTTTCTATATTGATAAATAATTTGCTTTATTCTGCATCTTCCTAAGTATCAAAATTCTTCCGTTTTTGCATATCAATGTTTGAGACGTTTGATTTACATGGCATGTATTGGAATTTTTAAGTTTTTGTGCCTTCACGTTTGAGAGTTTGAGTTTACATCACCTTGTAAACAAAGAATATTTGCAACATTTGAATTCATTTTACAGTCCAAGTTCTAAGGATCATGCTTAGTTGTTATCTCTTAGTTACGGTTTTATGTTGGTTGAAATTAAGCAGTGACCAATCGTATTAGAATATGCATCTGCAGAATTATCACTATTCTGAATGATATGTGTTGGTCCAAACTGAAATCAATTCAAGGATTGAAAAGAAAAAAGAAATTGTCAGATGCCCGAAAATGTGAAATGTCGGGCCCGTGCAAACTATCTAGTTATATATCTAAAGGAAGAAACAGAATGAACTTGTTTTCTCCTTAGTGACTCAGGTAACAGTTAATCAAGTATGATTTGACAGGTCCCTGCTGACATATCTTGTAATAAAATAATCCAATAGTTTAGGAAAGTCAGACAAGTTCGTAATGCTTCACAATTACACTTCAATCTTCCACGCAACTCTTGTAACGTTCAATAATGATGCCTCATTGTAATAACAACGCATTTCTTGAATCTTAAATATACTTAGCCCAACATCGAAAAGCAAAAAGAAAAAGTAAAATAAAGAGTAAAACAGATGATTTTTTCTTATTTTCAGTTTTAGACCGTAAAGGAACATGTATGATTATTTTGAAACATAAAGAGGGAGAAAACATATCCAAGCTCGACCTTATGCATAGTGTTCTGTTTTTGTGTGCGTATCTTTCCTTTTTCCCCATTAACCGATATCACTATCACAAGAACATAATTCGTATTATGCTTTCATTGCTACATAAAGTCCAGAGTTTAAACATCTCGGAAGCATGCATAGGATTAATTAAAAAGGCAAACTTGATTTTTAATAATACCCACAATGGTGCCGAATTAGAATGTCAACAGCAAAGGCAGGTTTCATCCTCAAGATACTTGACATTTAGAAGTTGAAAGCTCATGAAGATTTAGTAAATGATATAAACTTATATATAGCTAACCACAAGGAGCTTCTCCGAGAACAAAGAGCACCGAAACTATAATTGAAATACCTGACGCCAGCTATTCGTTACATCCTTTGTCAAAGCACAAAATACAATATTTTGGTGCAGTGTTCGTACACCTTTGTTGGCTTATATATAGTAGAAATTTGGTTGAATCAGACAACCATCATGAATCAGTCCCAAGAAAAGCATGCCACTTCATATGGCACAATGGATCCCAAGATAATACTCCAAGGCCGAATAGACCAAAAATTTGCAGTAAGATTACACTGAAAAATTATCATTTTTCTGCTCAGTCCAATCCAAACAATTGTCATTTCCATCCTAAAGTGACACCAAAACATATTCTTTTTATATACCCATTAGAAAGATTGTCTGCATAAATATTTTCACTGACCAAGATATCAACTGAAATGAATAGAAAATTGATAAAATTAATTATCTTTACCATACTGTTAAAATATATACTTAAAACGGATAGAGTGCAAGCTTTCTATTAATAAGAATCGAGACAAAATAATATTACTAACTGTAGCACGATCAATATGTAGAGCACCATGAAAGAATTATTCATATTCATTCTCTTTTCTAACATAGTGAAATTTAAATATTTTATATTACTCAACTGTAAGGGAATCTAAGCACAAATTATTTACTTTGTTTGAGGGAACTTATAGTTGAGACTATACTATATTTTAAGTCTAAGAAAAAAGATGATTTGCACTATTTAAGGGAATGAAGTACAACCACAGAAAGATTGTATAATTAGTTAGAGAAGCCATGATGTAAATAATGTATAATTTAATAATCAAGCAAAAAGCATTAATACACCTTAGGTCCTTGAAGCCTCATCTAAGTACATGAAATGTTGAACATTTGAAACTCAAAAGGACACACAGAGACACATCAGTACATTGTTTATATCACCTAGTAACATTAGATATATTTTTCCCAAGGTCCATCTGTCAATAATTTGATAACTAACGGCATGTAGATTTCACTAGATCTTTTCACAATTAAAGCTCCTTTTTGTTAAATACAATTATAATTTCAAGCACATCTCTGGTAAAGGATACACTGACATTTTTCACTGTCATACCTATAATTGCCAAAACATCTACTCCCTCCGTTTCAATTTATGTTAACTTGTTTGACTGGGCACGGAGTTTAAGAAAAAAATGAAGACTTTTGGAATTTGTGGTCCTAAACAAGTCTAAATGGGGCCAGAGTATTTGTATGGTTATAAAAGCTTCTCGTTAAGGGTAGAGTTGTAACTTTAAGCTAAATTGTTACCAAATTTAGAAAGGGTTCATTCTTTTTGGAACGGACCAAATAGGAAATAGGTTCACATAAACTGGAACAGAGGGAGTATCAAATATACGATATTTGTGTATAAGAAGTCCTGGGGCCGAAAATGAAGATTTTTATATTGTAAAAATCACCCAAGGAAAACAAAATGTAATAGATAATTGTTTAGTTGTTTCAGGCATATCTTCAAACACCTTGTGTGCATCAAAGTTCTCCCCGTTTCATACATCCCTTTCCAGATGGTAGTTCAATTTGCTTAGTGTTGTTGCACTTTGTGCACCTGAGGAGAAATTCCCCACAATAGCATTTGAACAAATAACCACATGCATTAAGAATTAACTCAAAGAAATTTCAATATAGCATAAATGCGTAAAGAACTTTATAGGCCAATGAAGATGCTAAATGAATAGTCAGTAAAAATTAAAATCAAAGCCTTATATGCTCACCAAGAAAGAATAGAGAATTTTTTTTAGCAAGACTCAAAAATATTCTACTTCATCCATTTTCAGGATTCTTGATTGTATCTCGCTGATGCATGTAATTTTGGAGTATATTGTATGGTGTACCCATAGATGGTCTTCATGTACATTGCAAAACTGGAGGATTATTAAACAACGCAAGCGAACAAACCAAAGTTGAATACCGGAGAAAAATAGATAACGAAATGGAAAATGAAAGACACAATGAAATGTCGAAGATGAAATACTCATCAGAACACCACAAATTCAATGGAGAAGATCACCGAAAACAGAAACGGATCAAGTTAGAAATAAAGTAACTAAAAGAAAAAGAGAAAGGCAGAAGGAAAATGAAGATAAGGACTAACTTCAAACACCTACTCCCTTCTTCCGGCATGTATTGTGGGATGTGATCTAGACTACTCTGAGAAAGACTACCCTGAGCAATTGAGAGGAGGCTTTAGTATAGGGGGCTTTAGTATAAAAAAAGTACACGTGTTTTACAAAATGCAGTACACACGTTCATCTTTTATGGACATAAATAGCTCAAATTACGAATAAGCCCTTATTCATTACATCCTTTGTCAAAGCACAAAGTACAACATTTGGTGCAGTGTTTGTACACATTTGTAGGCTTATATATAGTAGAAATAATAAAATATTTATAACTATAAATACTATAGAATTAATTATACTAAATTTATTCAGAAAATATTGAATTCAACTATATTGTGCCAAAGTAGTATTTATTTTCATCATTTAAACACATGATGAGCTTAGTTTAACCTCCATTGCTATTTTTCAACAATTTGTATAAAATTTATATCGATTAACGCGATGCACACGTGCAACGTACGTACATTAAAACTGGTTATATTAAAAGCACGAAAACCCTTCGCGAAATGTCGTTCGTCTTTTTTACTAAATGACTATTTCACACTGGACGAAATAGTCATTTAGTTATTTTTCTAATATGTAGGAATAATCATTTAATTATTTTTCCAACATCTGGGAATAATTATTTAGTTATTTATCTAATATTTAGGAATAATCATTTAATTACTTTCTTATATTTATAGATAATCATTCTAATATTTAGGAATAATCATTTAATTACTTTCTTATATTTATAGATAATCATTTAATTATTTCTCAATTGGAATATCATATTGTTTAATTTGAGTCCTTCGCTGTGAACTCCGTTTAGATTTAAGAGTATCTAATATCAAACACATTATGAGTACTTTCAATTCCTTTCTTTTCGATCTCTTTCGATTCCTCCCGTTTATGCCCCCATGTTAACCAAAACTTTAGTTATAATTGATATAATTAAGTTATTTCCTTCTTCGAAAAGGTATTTAATGTTGCATAATATCTAAGACTATTAAGTTGCTACTAAAAAGTTGCTACTCTAAGTATTGATAAATTAGGAACAACTTGGCATTCCTAGAATTGTGGTAAATTAGACGCTAAAAAATTTGTGTCGCATGAAAACTTTAAGTTGGTGAAAATTACTTATCGACTAATATGTTAATTTCTTTTTAAAAAATGAAAGAATTATTTTTAGCCAAAATCAATTGAATAGGCCGTAATATAAATGAGTATGTTCACAAAATTGTAAAAAAACTATTGATGGAAAACTTAGAGAAGAAATTTTTTATAATGAAAAACCTAAGATGTTTAAAAAATAAAGAGATTATGCCCTCCTCGTAAGCACGTAATTTTTGACCCGTCACATTTTTGAGCTATTTTTAGCATTTAAAATATTTGTTTAACTTAACTTTAATTTTTGTAGAGTTTAATCTATTTTTACTTCAAATTACAATTTAAAAGCACAAAAATATTCTCATCTTTACTTTAAAGTCAATTAGTATATTTATATTTATAGTATTTTAATTTTACCATGACTTTAGCCTATTTTCTCTACTTTTTACTTTATTATAATATTTGAAAATGCAACATATTACGATATAATTTTACTTTAATTAATTGGAATTAATTTTTCATTTAATAGTATATATTAATATTATTTAAAGGAAAGGGATTAAGTTTTCTTCATTATTGGACTTTAAAAGTTGGATATCCCCAGATTTGGCCCAGTTCAGATTTTTAAGGCCCATATCTTATCTACCCACAATATAAAAACATAATTAAAAAAAAAGGACATAACCTAGTTCTCTAACCATGACCGCAACCCCCCATATAATTCCCCTAAGCTTCAGCCGTTACCCTTTTGTCTCCAACTCCAAAATTTCTAGCACCCACCCTATTCAAAACATCTTTTTGACAGTAGCTGGGGCAAAAACGCTAGTGAGCTCAAAGAACGGCAAAGAGAGTGAGGAGTAAAGAGAGAAAATCGGCCAGAAGCTTCGATAAACACCTATAAAACCAATTGAAAACTCAAACCCAACAGGTGGCTCCATCACCGTGAAAATGGAGTCCAAAGTCGATGTTTCGAAAGTCCGTTTGAGTCAGAAGTTCTCCGATCGAAGTTTGTTCGCGGTTCCGATTCTGGGTCCGATGCTTTTGTTGGGTTGCGATTTTCCTCTTCATTTTATACATTGCTCGAGCTTGTTGAATGAGTTTTGAAAAGAAAATTCTCAAAGAAATTGAATCTGTATTGGTCGATCGAGAGGGTTCTGTTTTCAGAATTATAGCTTCAATTGAGGTAAGTTAATAGATTCTTCTCTTTTTTAGAAGTGGTTTTCACATGCAGTAGAAAATTTTTGATTTTCCTTTTCTTTTCTCTTACCTTTTTTTTATCTATTTAGAAAAGAGAGAAATTTTGTTATCTACTTAGAAAAGAGAAGAATCAGGTTTGAATTCTATGACTGAACTTGAGGATTGAACAATTATGGGATTTTGTTGTTTGGTTCATTGAACATTATTGGGATGTGATAATATTTGGGATGATTTATATCTAAACTATTTGGATTGAATCTGAAATGGACTTACCAAATTGTAAGCATTTGACGTTCTTTGGAGTCCATTTGAATTCCTTGGCTGGAAAAGGCGTGTGGTTTGTTGTCATTGCTTTGTTTGTGGGAACTGTTCTGCTTCCAACATTTTCTGGACTTGGTAGGGTCATTCAAGAATATCAAAGTTTGCTTTAGGCGCGATTAATGATTAATAAATCATCGTGACTATGGGTACGGTTCCCGTGGCATGGTCACGAACATAATCCCAATTCGAGTGTGCGTTTCACGTGACTCGACCTTAACTTCAAATAATAATAATAAACATGTTGTGAGTCGCGAGTGCATTTCACTTGATGCGATTCGCAATGTGTACAAAGGTAATAAGTGTGCGACATCGTGACTTATTTAAATAAACCCATAAATCCTAAAAGCAATTAAAACTTTACTAAGAGCGATTTAAAAGGTAAAAATGCACAACATGTCTTAAATATGTATTAAATCAAATAATTAGGCCAATTATTAATAGTTGAGTGACCGTACTAAAATCACAAAATCCGGGAATACCCAACACCTTCTCCTAGGTTAACAAAATTCCTTACCCGGTCTTCTGTGTTCGCAGACCATAAATAGAGTCAATTTCCTCGATTTGGGATTTAAAACAAACCGGTGACTTGGGACACCATAACAATTATTCCAAGTAGTGACTCTGAATTAAATAAATAATTCCATTTCGATTAATGTCACTTTAATTGGAAAAACTCTCTATCCCTCGGGAAAAAAGAGGTGTGACAGCTCTGGCGACTCTGCTGGGGATCGAACCTAGAATCTCTGGTTCAAGGTTCATAATTCGAGCTTAGATTAACTGTTATACGTGGCTTTTATTTATTACCTGATATTAGTTGTTTGGGCCTAATATGCTAAATGTCGCTTTTTTACCGCTTTGATATTCTGTGAACTGTATATAAAACTGTTACGAAACCCTTCTTCTCTTTGAGTCTTCTAAATCGTTTGGGAAGGGCACACTGGCGTGACTTCTTTTCTTTTAGTGTCATACCCTAATTTAGAACGAGGATCAGATTAGTTATAAAGCCCGGTGATCTTTTGGTTATTGGTACGTGGCCCCCCCTCTCGGCTCAAGTTGTCCGCTCAGGTAAGCCATGTCTAGAATAATCCACCAGGTTTTAAACCTAGAATAACATAGCCTCATGCCGGATCCCTAGTAGGTACGTGTGTTTGCATCATGTGCATTTGACTTTGGGGACTCAACACATGGGTTGGGTCTGTCTGGGACAGGTGTACCCAAAAATAAAAAGACCATCCTGATGCATTTTACATGCTACTTGTACATTTATTTGTTTCGGCTTTCATGTTTACTGGCTTCTAGAATAGGAAAAGAAAATAAAAAAAAATAAAGAAAGAGAGAGAGAGAGAGAGAGAGAGAGAGAGTGAGAGGTAGGTATTTGAAATATCCTGAAACTCTGCCGAAAAAAAGGAGAAAAAGAAATTTATTTCAAAATAAGTCATATTTTCTTGTTGCGTCAAAACTGATCGAACTACGCAGGTCTGATTCTCATCGGATATGAGATACGTAGGAAAACCTCATCGGTTTCGGCCCCAATTTAAAATAAAAATACAAAAATATTTCCTTTAATTCCTTTTTTAGAAGTCTTCTCTTAGAAATAAAAAAAGATTTTAATCCCAAAAATATTTTTTTAGAAGTTTTTCCTTCGAGAAAAAACAAACAAATCAAATCAAAATCCAAAAACTATTTTCTACCTTTTTTTAGAAGTCTTTTTACCAAAAAAAAAAAAGAAAGTCAAAAATCTAAGAAATATTTTCTTTCTTTTCTGGAAGTCTTTCTTTCAAAAATTTATAAATAAAAATCAATATCAAAACCAAAAATCCAAAAAATATTTTCTTTCTTCTTTATAAGTCTTTCTTTCGGAATAAAAAATTCAATATCCAAAAAAAGGAGTTAGTTTATTTACTTTATTCCTAATCTTTCCGAACTACGTAAAGATCTGAATTCATGCGGCTACGTAGGTAACTCACATCAGGTTTGATCGAATAATTTTGAAAAAAAAGGAAAGAAAAGTGGTAAAAAAAAGAAAGGAAGAAATAATGATAATAATAAGGACCGTCTGAGTCCATTCTAACGTGTCTCTTGTTTTCAATTGAGAATGTTTGAGGTGGTTGGTTTGTGGTAAGCTGGCAACACAACATCCAAGGGGAAAATGCCATTGACAACTAACATTGAAGCTGTTACAAGTGCTCAAGAGACTCGGGGCCAGAGGGTTCAACAAGAGTCTACTACGGTTGAGGAAAATGGAATACTGAAACAGCAAATGATCGAAATGTGTCAAGTATGGGCCAATGGCCAAGGACAACCTTTTTTTATTCATGGTTTCCCAGAGTTCACATCCATCTCTACTACTACCATTCAGTGTCATTGTCTGATCAATCTTATCCACCCGGGTTCAGTCTTTGTCCCAACTGTACGACTACAACTAGAACCTCTGTTGTGCGCTCTCAAAGTGTGCCATTGATAGCCAATCAAACAACC